CTATACATCTATACATCTATCTATACATCTATACATCTATCTATACACCCATACATCTATCTATACATCCATACATCTATCTATACATCCATACATCTATCTATACATCCATACATCCATTTTTAAATGCAGTGGTTCCCAACCCTGATCCCTGAGGAACACCATCCTATACGTTTTAGTTATTTCCCTGCTATGACACACCCGATTTGAATGATTTGGTGAATAACAGGCTTCAGCAGAATTTGAGGAAGTAATTAAATCCCTGAATCAGGTGTGTTGAAGCAGGGAAACAGCTAAAACATGCAGGGTGGTGTTCCTCAGGGACCAGGATTGGAAACCCTAGAAAGTTTCAAATCTTTGTGGATTTCTCTGAATATTTTCTCTGACGGAGGCAGACTGATGTATAAGTGAAAGTCGGTGAGCTAAAATGGAGGAAGGAGTCGCACCGTGTGGATCACATTCAGTGATCCCAGGAGACGCAAACAGTTTCGGGGTTTGTTCAAACATCTTCTTGGTTTTCTGTTTTCTTTAGGACCAGAAGACGAGGGGTTTGCTGGACTTAAACAAGGAGATTCCCGAGGGGCGGCTGTTGACCATCGTGTACGGCTCCGACCTGGTCAACGTCTCGTTCCTCAACTTCCTTGCTCTGCAGGAGGAAACGGCAAAGGTAACCACGGAAACCCGCACCCTGTAATGTTCACAGAATAGGCATGGCTGTGTTGTTTCCACCTTCCTGTCTAGCTTAGTTTTAGTCGTAAACTGATTGTTCACTTTACAATGTTGACACAAAGGTACGTGCGTTTACGAGTTGTATAGAAACATTATTGCCTGCATGTGTGTGTGTGTTTTATGTCGTAACTCGTAGTTTTGACATCAAACCAACGGTCAGTCTTGTTTTGTCCACTTGTGTGTTTCAGATTTGGGCAGAAGAGCTCTTCTCAATTACCAAAAACATTATTTCCCGCAATGAATCCCGTATGAACTACATATACAAAGTGTAAGACTTGTGCGGGCCTTGCCTTTTAAAATATTGCAGATTTTCTGATATTTTAAATTGAACTCCCCTCCCCCCTCACACCTTTTGTGTTTTAGGTATATCAAGCTAAAGCTTTATGAAAATCAGGAGGGGAATATTTTATTGAAGCAGTGAGTACAAGCCTCAACCGCCACCTTCTTATCTTTGCACAGACATTTAAAGTCACTTCTTCTTTCTTTTCCACTTTCATGTCGCTCTTCCACTTTCGTTCCGTCTGTTTAGTGTCGACATACCTTTTCTTCGGCATTTATCATAAGCTTTTCTCTTCTGGTTTGGGTTTTACGCAGAAAGCCATAAATTTAAAAGGCAGACTTGAGTTTAAAGCCGACAGCTTGAGCGTGTAAAAGTGATCTGAGCAAACTCCTTTTTGTTTTTCCAGTTTTCACAAGTTGTTCTCTGATAAAAGACGGGTGGAACAATCCCTGGACCAGTGTGGGCTCCTCGTCAACAAGGTATTCTTAGAAGGAAATCAACGCAAGTATTGCTTCATGCAGAGCAATAAGAGGAACTTTGTCTCTGGCTCTTAGGGGTGCTGGACATAACTATGTTCTGGGCACATCCTTGCAAATGAAAAACCGAATCAAAGTAGTTTTAAACCAAAAAAGTCCATGCTCAATAATCCAGGTATACAATCCAACAATTTTCAGTCAGGTCATCTGGACAGTTTCTTTTTTTGCTGAAACGTCTCACCTTCCATCCGGAAGGCTTCATCAGTCAAGGAAACGCACAACAAAAACTGATTCTTCCCCCAAACAGCTTACTCCAAAGTGGAACAAACCAGTTATGTTGGTGCTAAGATGATGTCTTTGGCACGCCCCCCTCCTCTGTTGCTGGCCCTCTTCCTCGTCGACAGTCATGTCAAACTGATTCAAAACCAAATAGTCCATGCTCAATAATCCAGGTATACAATCCAACAATTTTCAGTCAGGTCATCTGGACAAGAAACCGTCCAGATGACCTGACTGAAAATTGTTGGAAGTAGTTTTAAAATTTTCAAAAATGTTTTCATCGGTTGATATAATTTGTAAGCTTTGACATTGACTGAAGCCAGAAACATGCACTTTTAGGTGTTTTTTAATTCAAATGATCTTGTCATGCATAAAATTGTCACTTTTTCAGAATTTTACAAGTACTGATCAGTCAGAGAAAGACATCAATCCACCCTCTTTCAGTTTTGGAGTTTTACGTATCAAATCTAAGAGTTCCATCTCCGACTCTGTAGATCTTAGTTAGCAGGTTAAAAGTTCTTGACAGTATAATTGGAAAAGACTTACCAAGTATGGCCTGCTTGAGTGGTTTGTGAGGAAGAAGCCTCTTCTTTAAAAAGAATCAGCTTACCGGTATGTTGTCTTATGTTGCATATGAACAATATATCAACATAAGTCAACATACCGGAACGTTGATCTTTGTTGCAGTAGAATCAATCTTCTTGCATCTTATTGATGTTGCATATGAACAATACAACTTTATTTGTAAAGCACCGTTGGTCAATTTGCTGTACATTGATAAAAGCAAACATAAAAACAGTTAAATCAATTAAAACAGTTAGAGTACATAATAAACCATTAGCTTATAAAAACAACAAACTATAGAGCAATAAATACAATAAAAAATAGATTAAAAAACATTACAAACCAACATCTCAAGCTGAGTTTAAGGCTAAGGAGAAAAACAAGTGTTTAAAGAGAAGATTTAAAGACAGGAAATGAGTCAGCCTGCCTGATGTGCAAAGGCAGCTTGTTCCACATTCACCATCTCAAAATAAGGTTGTGAACTAAATTATTTGACCTTGGACACTTGCCGCAAGTGATAAAAGCTGGACTTGATCACTGATTCAATCTGTGCATCGAGTTTAAAAACATTGTCCAGCCTCACACCCAGGTTAGTTGCCGTCTGAGTCATATGTTGCGTTAAAAGACCCAAATCACCATAGGCTTGGAGACATCACTGGGCTTAAACAACAAGACCTCAGTGTTTTGCTCATTAAAATGTAAAAGGTTCAGCGACATCCTTGCTCTGACTTCTGCAATACATTACAGGAGTTAGTTCAATGAGTTTTGCTTTTTTTTATTTTTGTGGAACATATATTTGTCTGTTATCAGCATAAAAATGGAAAGTGACACCATGTTTCTGGAGGACAGATCCAAGAGTGAGTAAATAAAGGGAAAACGGAAGAGGGCCAAGTATAGAACCTTGAGGTACCCCATTTGTGCTATGTGCTATAGAGGACTCAACAGCTTTGACATGCACACAAAATCTCACAAACAGACCACATGACTTAAGGAGCAATGTCCTTTGAACAGATAAAAACAAAATGAGATGTTTAACCACAATGCACAACATCATGTTTGTGCCAATTTGCTGTGTTTGGTTTTTGCCAAACACCTTATGCTAAGCATGGTGGTGGAAGGGTGATGACTTGGGCTCATTTTGCAGCCAAAGCACTCAGACATCTTGTAGTCAAATTACCCTAGAGGCTCAAACTGGGTCCTGCAACAGGATAATGATCCCAAACACACAGCAGCAAATCTACAACAGAATGGGTTTTTAAAAAAGAAGAAAAAATCAAGGTGTTGTAATGTCCAGTCAAAGTCCAGGTATAGACCTTACTGAAATGTTGTGGCAAAACCTTGGGATAACTGTATAGAAACAAATGTTTGCAAACTTCTATGAACTGCAACTTTGTAAAATAGAGGGCCAAATTCTTCCACAACAATGTGAGAGACATTAAAGTATAAACAAAACTCCTACTTCAAGATGGTTCTACAAGCAATTAAATCAGGAGGTGTACCTTTTTATACTCTATTTTGGTCTCATTTTTGTTTGATAAAAATGACACGGGGGAATTTGTTGTTTGGTTTTGTATTATCCCTTTTACATAAACCTTAGAATTAAAAGGTGTACTTCCTTTTCCTCATAACTCTACATTAAGTAGCTTTAACTTTTTGAACGCTTTGTTAAAAAGTGATTTACAGAAAACTATAATAACATTTGAGATGGTAAAAAAGCAGAACAGTAAACCAATGCAAAGGTGGACCCACAGCACAAGTATTGTTGTCTGGACTACTGAAGGAAGACCGTTCCAGACTAAGAAAGGACATTTAAAGTAAAGGCACTCTGAATTTGTTGGTAATTACTCCATTTTATAATATTCAAGCTTGATTTTGAGAAAAAAATCAATAGTATGTTATTCTCACAATTTAGCTAAAGAAAATTTTAAGACATCCAATATTCATTGCATGCCAAGTTGTTGTGTAGAAGAATAACGTGTGTGAAAGCACCTGGCATTAAGAACGTGTAAATCTGTGCATCACCAGCATAATGTCAGAGCAGACTGAAATTTTGTGGCCCAGATGAAACGTATGCAAGGAAAATTGAACAGGACCAAGTGCACACCCCTGAGGCACCCCACAGTTCAGAGGTGCATCAAGGCTACTAAAATCTAAAATCTATTAATTTTTTCCACTTTATCAAAACTGCCAAATCAGAAACATTTGAAAATCTGGTAGATGTATTTAAATCTCAATTTTGATCACTTCTGCAATTTTTGTGCCATTTCAACAACTCACATATCAAAACATTAAGCTCACTCAAGACATTCCTGCTCTGACTTTTGGTATTTGTGCAATTTATTTTTTTATTTTTAGCATTTTCAACCATTTTCTCCTCATTGAAAATTAATGTAGCTCTCTTCGCATCCTTCAAACCCTTTGGGCTGTTTAAAAACTTTTACTGCGCATTTCAGCTTTTGTTCTGCTTCAGCTTCTTTCTGCAAAATTCAGCTTTTTCAGCTACTTTTTAATGTCACCGTCATTTTTATTTATATAGCACATATAAAAACGTCCATGTTGACCAAAGTGCTTCACAAACGGGAAATCTAGCAATAAAATAAATGAAAGAGCAAACATTAAAAATCACAAGTATAATAAAACTAAGAACAAACTAACGCAATAAAAGTGTTTTAAGGTGGGATTTAAATGACCTTAATATTTTTCTGCTCATTTTAGCCTTTTTTCTGAAGTTTATTGTTCAGAATTTTACATTTTGTTTTTTACTGATAATGAAGACTTTTTTGTTGTTGCTATTTTCAGCCTGCTCATTTCAGCTCTTTTTTGTTTTTTAGCTTTTCAGCTTTTTTTTTGCTAATATAAGTTTTTTTTTCTGCACCTGTCAGTTTATCTAATTTCTAACAATTTTAAATACATCCAGCTTCTCTTTGCCTGTTTCAACTTTTCTATACATTTCTGCTGTTGCTGTTCTGCTTTATGCTTTTATTTTCCTGACTTCAGCAAATGTCAGCTGGTCAAATTAAATTCACATTTCCAGCCTCATTTCAGCTTCTTCAGCAGCTTTCAGCAAAAAACAAAAACAAAACTGTAGCAAACATTCACACCGCATTTTCACAGGAAATGTAATTTCTCCAGTTATTATTTGCAACAAGCCCATCCAACAGCTGACTGGACAAGGACCTCGGGTGTTTTTAATTGAAAGCTTTACCTGGATCCACGGTGAATAAGGATATTTTTACCCCATTTTTTATAAAGTGAGCTGAGCCGCCTGCCTGGTGGTGGTGGTTCTATAGGAGCAGCATATTGACTCTAACCTCCATACATCTCTTCAAGCCAAATTAACCAAATAGGCAAAGTTTTCAACAAGTTGTCTCTGAGAAAATAACCATAGATTGTACGGTTGTAGGCAGGGAAGTTGCTGTGGTGCAACTGATCAAAAATAACTATTATAATACAAAACTAAATGTATTCACGGAGTCGTTTAACCCTGAAAATCCAGTGAAAGAATAATTTTTTGCATATCTTTAGAAATTTTTGCTAAAAAAAAAACCCAGGTGTTTTTTGTCTTATAGAGTCGATGTAATCTGTTTTTAAAATGAGTTGGGAGATATGTTTCTTATACACAGAGGTCAGATGCTGCAGACTGTCTGGGTTTGTCCTCAGTTGCTGAACTCTGGTGTCTCCTGCTGGTTATAAACTAGAACAGATGAAATGTTTAAAGCAGTACAGAGAGAACTTTTGCTTGCAGCATTGACGACGCGATAAGATTGATCAAAAGCTATCGATCTGTTTTTTGTCTAAATGTATGCTTTTAATCAGTCCAAGACTTGTGTCTAAACCACCTCTCCTGTCTTTAGCCAAATCTAACTGTAAAGATGTATTTATTTATTTATTTGCATTTTTCTTGTATTTTGCAACACAATCCTTTTTCCTCTTCTGTTTGCAGCTAATTGGAGTAAAAGCAAAGAATTTAACGGTTAAAACTTTTATGGATTTTCTCGACAACTTGACTGCACGGCCCGAGTTAGAAAAGATCTTTGAAGAATGGTGAGTGATACGTAAACCTACTCTACATTTTCTTATATATTTCCATGTTTTCTTTTCATGACAACGTTCATTTATGTCTTTATATCTTTATATTTATTATTTTTTTCTCTGTAGCTGTAATTTAAGAGCTCTGACTCAACGCTTGTTAAACTTTTGTCTCCAGTGGCTCTAAGAGGAAGCCATTTATCACTTTGGACCAGTTCATGGAGTTCCTCAACCACAAGCAGCGAGACCCCAGGCTGAACGAGGTGCTGTACCCTCCGCTGAAGAAGGACCAGGTTCGGCAGATCATGGAAAAATACGAGCTCAACCACAGCCGGCTGGACCGAGGTAAGCAGCCGCTGTAGGCTTCTTCAGATCGATTAAAAATAAAAGATAGTTGGGAATATTTGCACGCATGTGCTGCTGTTTTGGTTTGTTTGCTTCTACGTTAATTTAAAGTAGCTGCAGAACCTGAATGTTATTTGGATGTTTAAATAACATTTTTTTCCTCGCCTGGATCATTTTTTTATACGCCCGTCATAGGACGTACTTTGGTAGAGTTGCTGTTTGTACGTAGACTTTCTCTTGTTCCGCTCGTAACTTGTGATCCGCTTAGTATTTAAATACACATATTCATCATCACTAGACGGAGCTTCATGTGTACTTTCCATCACCTCAGCTCCAAGGTCAAGTTCTCAAATCAAGTTAAACTAGAGAAATTACATTTCCTGCTAAAATGCAATGTGAATGCTTATTTCTGAAGAACTTGCTGAAAAACAGCTGAAATTAGCTTAAAACGTGCTGAAATTGAAGAACAAGCTTCAATTAAAAGAAAGCAAAAAGAACACACATTCGCTAAATTATGTTTAAATTGGCAGAAATGAGCACAAAAATTAATACATTTGCTAAAAAAAAAAGAAAAGGCTGAAATTAGCACCAAAAAACCCCTGAAAGTATCTGAAAAGGAAGAAAATAAGCTTAACCTACCAGAATGAAATGGAATAAGCTGAAATAAGCTGAAAAAATGTGGAATTAGCTGAAAAAATGAAACAAAATTAACATAAAAATGGCTAAATAGCCACTGAAATTGCAGAAAAAGCTGAAACTAGCAGAAAAAAGCTGAAAGGACGATAAGTTAAAAATAGCATAAAGAAGTTAATCAGGTTGAAAGTGGCAAAAATTGCCACGAACAACTTGAATTTATCTGAAAACGGCTGAAATTAGCTAAAAATGCTGTAAAGTAGCTGAAAAGATAGAACAAGCTTAAATTGACATAGAAAGCAGAAAGAACACGTTTGACCAATTAAACTGAAAGAAGCAGAAATGAGCAACAAAAAGATGAAAATTATCTGAAAACGGCTGAAATTTGCAAAAACAAACAAAAATAAAACAGATGAAAGTATCTAAAAAAACAGAAAGAAGCTTCAATTACCAGAAGGAAATAGAGAACACAATTTTGCTGAAATAGGCTGAAAAATGTTTAAATGAATGCAAAAAATGTGGAATTAGCTGAAAAAGTTAAAATTAACATAAAACAGCTAAATAGTAGCTGAAATAGCAGAAAAAGCTGAAACTTGCAAAAATAAGCTGAAAGGAGTATAACAAGCTGAAATTAGCAGAAATAAGTTTTAAGTAGTACAAAAATGTTGCAGTTAGCAGAATGGATCTGAAAGGAGTACAAAACAGCTGAAAGTAGCTGAAAAAAGTTTAAATTTGCACAAGGAAGCTGAAAGCAGCTGAACCAGAACAAAATTTGAAAGGAGCAGTAAAAGGTTGTAAACAGATCTAAAGATTTGAAGAATGTAAAATGAGCTCAATTCATTTTCTATGAGAGAAAAATGTAAAAAAAGACTAAATATCTCAAAAAGCTAAAGTTGCACCAATAATAAAAATCATAGCAGGACTGTCCTGAAAGAGCTGAACGTTTTGATTTATGATTTTTTGAAATAGTTGAAAACTGACGCATAAACATTCAGACAATTAAGATCTTTGCCTGTCTGAGCCATTGCTGTATCTTGCTGTATAACAGTTTGTGATGGGCGTATAATGTGTGGTTTCTATTGTCTTGACTTCAACCAGCTACCCATCTTGTTCTCTGTTGCAGATCAGATCAGCATGCAGGCGTTCAATAACTATCTGATCGGAGAGGAGAACTTCATCATACCTCCAGAAAGGCTGGATCTCATCGACGACATGAACCAGCCACTGTCCCACTACTTCATAAACTCCTCTCACAACACATACCTCACGAGTAAGAGGCTCTCAGGGAGAATCTAAAATGTTAACTGTAACGGCTCATTTACACTCGAGGTGAACGAGTCCGCTCTGGTCTTCTTCTAAGGTATCAGGACATAATCGTGGTCTTTGTGTAACAAACCTAAACTTTTTTACAGAACTTTGATTTTTGAGGTTTACAAACATCAGTTTCTGCACAGATTTCTTCGTGTCTTGCCACGACAGAGGCGGAGGCTTCAGTTTTAAACTGAACTGACGCTTCCTCCTGCTGTAACGCTCCGTTTTGGCGCCCAACTTTGCGTCGATTCCTTCAGATTTCACTTTACAGTTGTGTGTCTGTGTCTCTGTCCGTCTTTAGTGGGTCAGCTTGCGGGTCCGTCGTCCGTTGAGATGTACAGGCAGGTTCTTCTGACCGGCTGTCGCTGCGTGGAGCTGGACTGTTGGAAAGGCCGAACAAACGAGGAGGAGCCGTACATCACCCATGGCTTCACCATGACCACTGAGATCTCCTTCAAGGTGAGAGGGGCAGTGGAAAATCTTTCTGGTCAGACAAAACAAAGAAAGAGCTCTTTGGACACAATGACTAGAAAAACATCTAAAATAATCAAGGGGAGTCTTTGAAACCTTAGAATACTGCACCAACTGTCAAGCACGGTGGTGGTAGAATCATGCTGTTGTACTTGTGCGTTGCAAAAAGTGAATGGAAAAATGAAGATCCACCTCCAAGTTCTTCAACTTTACCTTGAATCAGCAGTTAGATGAATGAAGCTTGGACACATTTGGGTTTGATCTCAAATACGCAACTGGTTTAACTACGCAGGCTAACATTGAGCTTCCATTTGTGGACCATGTGTAAACGCTCAAACGATGTTGTTTTTCATGTTTGAGGTTTTATAATAATTCCAAATGACAAGGGGAAATATAAAATGCATACCAGACAAAAGCCTGTCGGGGGGCGGGGAGATGGGGGACCAATGTTTAGGGGTGGTTATTGCCCGTTTGGATCCTCCTTGGTAGCGCCCCTGTATACAAAATGTTCACGATCATGGTGAAACCTGCCAAAAGATATTTAATCAAATATTAGTGAGGGTTTATGTTTATATCTGAGCCTGTATGCATAATTCTGACCCTTTGCAGGATAAATAAAATCTACAACAATTTCGAAGTTGTGCTCCCAGTTCTTTTAGATTTTAAGGATCTCCGAGTTGGAACAATAGCTCTTATTTGATAAATAATTACTTCAGTATTAAAATGAGGCCATAAATCTACTATAGGAGCTAATATATATCACGTTAGCTCCAGAGCTAGTAGCATTAGTGCCACAGCTAGTAGCTTTAGCGCCACAGCTAATATGTATGGTGTTCAGAATCAGAATCAGTTTATTATTGCCATGTCAATGAACGAGGTTCACAACTAGGAATTTGCTTCGACATAAGGTGCAAATAGTAATAAAGTAAAAATAAAGTAAAAATGAAGTAAAAATGAGAACATTACATAAGACATAAGACCTGTGTACACCCACAAATAAAGTAAAATTAAAAACATAACATAAACATGTGTACACCCATACAATAGAAAACAATAAAAAAGCTTAGAAAACAGTACAGATGGTGTTATCTCAAGAGCTAATAGTTAGCTCTGAAGCTAATAGTGTTCGCTTTAGA